TTCAAGAAAGGAAGAACAAGAAACTAGCAATTAACAACAGCCGAACACGAGCAGAGAAAATCAAAGCACAAGCAGACTACGCAGAAGCAAACAGAGAAGTGAAGAAAAGCATTAAAGCCGACAAGCAGAAATACATGGGAGAACTAGCGGAAAAAGCTGCAAGAGAAGGAAATATGAAACAACTATATGATACAACGAATAAATTGGCAGGGAGATATAGCAAACCGGAGAGACCAGTCAAGGACAAAGAAGGAAAGACAATCACTGAGATTCAAGAACAGAGGAAAAGATGGGCAGAATACTTCGAGGAACTGCTGAATAGACCAGCCCCATTGAATCCACCGAACATCGAAGCAGCCCACACAGACCTTCCAATAGATGTCACTCCACCAACGATCGAAGAAGTCAAGATGGCTATCAGACAAATCAAAAGTGGGAAGGCGGCAGGACCTGACAATATACCAGAAGAAGCACTGAAGTCAGACATTGAAATATCTGCAAACATGCTTCACCATCTATTCAAGAAGATTTGGGAAGAGGAACAAGTGCCAACGGACTGGAAAGAAGGATATCTCATCAAGATACAAAAGAAAGGAGATCTGAGCCAATGTGAGAATTACAGAGGTATCAGCTTGTTATCAGTACCAGGAAAAGTTTTCAACAGAGTGCTGCTGAATCGGATGAAAGACGCAGTAGACGCCGAACTTAGGGATCATCAGGCTGGATTCCGTAAGGATCGGTCGTGCACAGACCAGATTGCGACACTACGGATCATCGTTGAACAATCAGTTGAGTGGAACTCATCACTATACGTCAACATCATCGACTATGAGAAGGCGTTTGACAGCGTGGATAGGAGAACATTGTGGAAACTTCTTCGACACTATGGAGTTCCTGAAAAGATTGTCAACATTATCCAAAACTCATACGATGGATTACAGTGCAAAGTGGTGCATGGAGGACAGCTGACAGATGCATTTCCAGTAAGGACCGGAGTCAGACAAGGCTGTCTACTCTCCCCATTTCTCTTCCTTCTAGTGATTGACTGGATTATGAAGAATTCGACATCTGAAGGGAAATACGGAATACAATGGACCTCTCAGAATCAATTAGATGACTTGGACTTCGCAGATGACCTAGCCCTCCTCTCTCATACACACGAACAAATGCAGTTGAAGACCGCAAATGTAGCAGCAGCCTCCGCATCGATAGGTCTCCACATTCACAAAGGAAAAAGCAAGATTCTCAAATGCAACACGGAGAACACCAACCCAATCACACTTAACGGTGAAACTCTGGAAGAGGTGGAAACATTCAAGTACCTGGGGAGCATCGTTGATAAACAAGGAGGATCGGATGCAGATGTAAAGGCGAGGATTGGCAAAGCAAGGGCAGCATTTCTACAATTGAAGAACATATGGAACTCAAAACAACTGTCAACCAACTTCAAGGTCAGAATCTTTAATACGAACAGTTGTCTACGCAAAATACTCAACATCCATTGGCCGGATACTATCAGCAACAGCGTTTTATGGGAGAGGACAAACCAGCTTCCAGCTGAAGAGGAAATTAGGAAAAGACGTTGGAAGTGGATCGGACATACATTGAGGAAATCACCAATGTGCATCACGACTCAATCCCTAACTTGGAATCCGGAAGGGAAGCGGAAAAGAGGAAGGCCAAAGAACACACTACGCCGAGAAATAGAAGCAGATATGAAAAGGATGAATAGCAACTGGAAAGAACTGGAAAGGAAGGCTCAGGACAGAGTTGGATGGAGAATGCTGGTGAGCGGCCTATGCTCCTCGACGAGGGGTAACAGGCGCAAGTAAGTAGTAAGTAAGTAAGCTATATAACACAAAGTATTTCCAATTCTGGAAAAGTGCTTCAATTCACAATCAAGATGCACGTTCCCAGTCAAATCAAGCAACACAATCAAAGAGGAAACAATCAATATGGCTGCCGCCAATATCAATCATCATCTAAAACAACATAGATATAGTTCAGAAAGAAACATAGGAACTCAATGAGAGAGAAAGAGAAAATGTTCAAACTGTTATGAAATGAAACATTACAATCTCAATTGGCATAAAAAAGACTAACAATAATGTAAAACTAAAGAAACCATTAAGAACAAGTTTCAAATGTATGCAAGGAGAAATTTTCACACACGAAGCCGGCAAAATGGATCGTACAATTATAGTGAAATTTACAAGAAAGGATCTCACCGACCTGATGGGATACCTAGGCATCAAAATTGGAATAGATAACACATAATATGAAGATATCATTAGACAACATTTACTGAGAGAGAGAAAGGAAAATGAGGAGTGATCTGAAAATATACGTGCATTCAACAAATCGATTGTGAGGGTCACAATATTCCCATACAAACGCATACACACAGCTACATGCATCTCACCGAATCACACCAAGAACAACCAGTAAATAATTCACAATATAGTAAACTGACTTCATCTAATACATTCGACGACGTTTCACAACAAATTGTTAACCAAATTTTGCCCAATCTATGTAAGACGTCAGAGCATACTACAGAAATGTTAAAAGACATCGGTTATGGATAGAGTGTAAATTAGCTCACTGACTGTTGTATGATCACAGTGTTCCATACTACTTTCGCGCTCTGTCAGTAGTCAGAGAAACTGTTATAAAGTTGTGAATACAGATCAATATACTAAATGATTTATATGATATCGTGTTTTATGAGCATATCAATCTGGTGATGAAGACTGATCTTCTTAGCAGAGTTGTAGAAACTGTGGACCGAACAACTCCTAAAGTCCAATGAGATGTTATTCAGAATTATTATGGACCGATCAATGTTTCACTTGAAAACTGATCAAATAATCAATTGATAGCTTTTCTACCACAACGGATTAGTGGCATGCCTAACTTGTTCAACGAACAGTTCACCCACAACTTGTTTAATTTCCATCTTGAAAGTTGAAGTACGGTGTTAAAATGGATTATAGAGTTTCTTTCATCTCCATCAAAAAAGAGTGCTTTATGGGAAAGTTTCACAGCAGGTGTTTATACACCGATATATTTCATGTTGCTTAAGTTTCATTTGGCAACATTTCTTAGAGAAAGAAATAGTTTGTTTTCTGTGGAAAACAATCAAGTGTGTGTATGTGTATGTGTGTTTGTTTGTAGAACAGAGACACAAAAATCACAATCAATCAACTCAGCATACTCGAAAAAAACGCATGCAGGCTTCATAGGATGCTGTAGAGATCATTGTAAGATCCAAACCTAGTTTCCAACCAGGTTTGATTTGTTGAATAACTGATGAGTAAAATTAGAGACGCGCACCCCCCCCCCATAGAAATCAGAACACTGTGTTTTGGGTAATAACTGTTCTAAATTTCATCATATATACAAATGTACAAATTTACATAAACAAGTATTAACACCCAGTTATTCAACCGACATAATTGATGCCAAAATATTCAATCTAAATTACAGTGAATAGCAAAGTGGTAAGAAATATATAAAAATTACCGAAAACATCAAAAGGTGAGTGTCATTTTATCCTTTCTGGATAGATCAAGTAAGATTCCGTTTGAGCGGCTGTTTTATAACAAAAAGTATTTCAATATCTGGGAAAGTGCTCCAAATTACAACTAAAAATGCACGATCCCAGTCAAAATCAAACCGCACAATCAAAGAGCGAAAAGTCAATATGTCAGCCGCCAGAATAATAACAATTAAAACAAACTAAATGCAGTTCAGTAAAGAACATAGCGATTCAATAGAAACGATAGGAAAACCAAGAAAATTAGACGTTACAGTCTTAATTAGCATCAAAAAAGTTAACAATATATACAAATAAAGAAACCACAAGGAAGAAATCACAAATGTATGCATGGAGGGATTTTCACTTTCAAAATGGATCTAACAATCATACCTTTGCTTTCTTCGTTAGGATGAAAAACTGAGTCCAGTGTACACATGGTTACTCTGAAATTAATCAGAATATAACAATCTAGATAAACTGGTGATTGTTGATAATCACTCGTTTCCATGTTCCTAGTTCTCTTATAATACGTATTTAATTGTATGCATAAAATGAGACCGATGCAACTCAGTATTAATATAAATGGAATTCATTGAATTTGAATTCAAACATTAATTGTGGAAAAATTGATGATTGAAGTCTGAAAAATTCACAAGTGATGGCATTTCTTATGCATAGACACTATGTCATACACATTACGTTATGGATATCGGATCAAATCGGTTTGAAGACATATTTGCATTAAAAGTTTAGAAAATAAAATACAAATTTTCGGCGATGCTTATATATAAATCCAAAAATTCAATTCTAGGCTTTGAGGCTACATCATACTCTTGTGCAATCAAAATTCATTGATATAATCACTTTTGATGATACGAAATCTTTATTATCATGACATACATCAATCGAATGATTCTGTACAAATTGAGAATGTTTTGCCTTTATTTAGCGTAAACATATACGAGTCCAAGTTGGTAGGTCTAAATAAAGAAAGTAGTTAAATAACTAGTTATAAACTGTATGGAATTCACAGTTTATCACTTGTAAAATATCACTTGTGAATTAATTATGAAATAGTTAATACTTTGTAAATTTCATCAACTTACCAATCTCATTCAATTTGAACACACTTAAATAAAAAGCAACAGTTGAGCAGCTACGAACAGTTTGTCATCATAATCAAATGAAACAAAATATTTGGCAAATCATATATTAAATCAATAGTCATGAGCATAAAATTGCAAATCTCAAGGAGGATTTCTAGAAACACTAGATGGAATTGTCGGTCAACGATGTTCATACAGTCTTAAAATGATTTGTACTGAATTCAGGTAGTTGTGTCCTCGATTATTATACTCCGACACCTCATACCACAACAGTGGAAGAATTTAGGCAATATGAATGGAAAGAAGTTAAAGTGATCTTACTCGAATCTAAAATCACATCTACAGTTTATAGAGGAAGACATATGATGAAGCACAATCTAAAAGCAGATGTATTTCTATACTGAGAAGAGAATTTCTAATGTCAAATGTTCATCAATTCTCATGTGACTGCTGAATTTGTGATTACCATACACGTATACATTAAATTGACAAAATAATCACATGCTAAACTGATAAATACATAATCCGACGAATCAGAACAAGTGTTGTTTGATAATCTCAATTACTTGTCGTGATATCTTATAAATGAATACGTGATATCTAGTCAGAAATAGTAGCATAAACGAATAGAATCAACCCGCTTCATCAATAATCCTTAAATCTTATTAAACGAAACCTGTAGTCGTCACGAACTTATCACATTTAAATCCTGAATATTAACACAGCGTTTTAACGTGAGTGATATAAATAGACCTACGAAGGTCGGTTTCACAATTTGATGAAGAACAATGCCAATTAGTTTAGTGTTCCTCTTTACTGTAATATCTTGCTCAACATTGTGGTCAATTGAAACACTGGTAAATACAACCGTTAATCACACAAATTCAAATGGCTCACAAACACAAACAAGACTTTTATATAGTCGGGTACCGTCAGTGGAATGCATGAGATTATTCAGCTTCTACAATAACAGGAATTATTGGATTGATTTGTGTGACAGTAATGCATTACTTTCTCCCTTTCTAAAGAGGTATACAAGAGCAGTTTGTTCACCACCCTCCACCAGACGCTCCAATGTTAAATACTGGATATTATATTCGTAAGTTTCTACAAATAACATAACTATTCTTTTTACGAAATTTGTATACTGAAAGTTTCTTGTGAGTCTCATAGGTGATGACAAGTGTTGTCTGAACAATATTGGCAAGATAAATTGGACACCAAATTAAGCTGAAATGTAATATTTCGATAATAGTCGTTCAACAAATCAAGGTTGTGAGTAAATGGAATAACCATTACTCATTTCTAAACACTTTGGAATATGACAGAGCAATAATACGAATAGATTGAATTTCAGCATGTACACCATTACAAATTGAGTGGGTGATCTTAAGATTATCATTTCTGTGTGTGAGAGAAGAGTCTAGGTCTAGTCTCTTGTGTCAGGACCATTGATATGCAATTGTGAGTAGTCGCATACTAGGAGAAAACAACTGTTCAGTGCCTCCCGATTCCAGTGGTTGTGTAATGAAATTCATTCATTCATGTTGAGGATGAAATTACCCAATCCCGATAACAACCTATGGAAATCTTGATTTCAGCTGAAGTTGATGGTATCCAACAGCAATGTAAATTGAATCATTAGTTACCCTGATTTGATGAACTACAGTAGGAAGAACGTCTCAAGATTGGCTTGATTTTCTACACCAAGTCTCATAATCTACTGAGATTATTATCGAAGGCTTAATCATATTGTCACTTCACGATGCTCATATTGTATATTATCGATTCGATTATCTACTCAAAATTTCACTGACGATTAAGAGAGCTGAGTGGAAACAAAACAGCGAAGTCCCTATGTACAACATTGAACATTATGTGGTCAATGAAATTTCAGTCATTTGATGCACTCAATGCATTGTGTTTAGCATTTACGGTATCCCAGACTAAATAATGTTCATTGGTCTATTAAATTCGAGCACAGAACTGTATGTGTGAAACGGAAGGTATATTTCAAATCGAGTACATAAATGAATTCACACAGAAAATTACTCCATGAAAGGATTTCTTTCAGCAAAATCATGTGGAAAACTGTACGAATGTTCACATGTATTAAATTACACGTATCAAAATAGTTTATGTGTTCCTAATAACATTAGATTGAGAGAAGTAGATGAACCCTGGAAGTACATGATGTTCAATATGATACTTTTAACTGAAGACGATATTGAAGTTATCCATTCAGCACGCACGTATACCTAACATGTGTAATCCAGTGTTGTCGTGAACATCAACACTAGGAGACTGAAGATCTAAGACATGTAATGTTATATTTTTTTCAAGCATTAGTATGATATGTTGTGATTAGAAATCGACTATACTGGTAACTTGTTTTAAAAAAGAATATCGGATTCTAAGGTGGGACGCAGAGAAAGAAGTTACGACTATCGTCGGTATGATTCATTTCATTGGATATTTTATTCAACATGGTTAGTTTGTGCATGCTTCAGTTTAGTTAAGTTACTACAGATGTTCAATGTAAGGTAAATAATTCTAACTGTTTTGTTTTCAAACCGTTTTTAACAAAATTGAAACTAGTGCTTGATCGCATTTGTATTCTTATTACTGTGTATTTGTTTACAGACGGGAGGGTTTTCGTGGTCGGCATATATTCGTTCGACCAGATACATGTATTACGGATATGCACCGAAATGGAATACGATCTGTTGGATCCATAATGAAGTGTTTAAGATGGTCTCAATACAATATTAACTCACATTGTAATGTACCACGACAGTCATCGTTGATAACTGATGAAATTCCGGAAAATATTGTTGAAGTGAATCAGGAGTTGAATCCGGGAATCGACACATCCAATCAATTCGATCTAAGTACTCAACAGAATGACAGTGCAAATAACAATGTTATTATCCCATAAATCCATTACTTCCAACTACTTTTGCTATCATGCAATCACAAGTTATCAATCAGATTTTAATTAACACTATCAAGACTTTTAACTATTCCGTAGATTAATGTATTAAAGTTTGTCAATAAAAGTCACATGATTTCAATGGTATGATTTGTTCCGTTATTTTAGTACAGTATTTTCTAGTTGAAATAAATTAAACGGAATGAAATGTTCTGGATTTACGTGCACAAAATGCGTGACAGTTTTGACGAGGGTTAGATTATGCGAGTGCTCGAAACACTCCATTTTCATTATTATTATTATTATTATTATTATTATTATTATTATTATCTTTTAAGGCAAGAATGAGTTCTTTACTTAGGATTGAACAGAGAAACCTTATCGGTAGAACTGCCATATTTGTTTTACCAACGCAATCAGTAAGTACGCCATATGGCTACACAGTTTGTACGCTCATAAACGTATAGTAATATTGATCGTAGTAAAATGAACAACAGAAGAGAAACAAAATCAGTTGAGAGGATTCGAAAAGCACAAAGATTTTTCAAAAAATCGGTAGACAATGAATGACTGATCAACCAAGTTGTTCATCAATTCAACCGATGAACCATCGGAATCTAAAGTCATTCAGAATTAAATTACATTATTGGACTGATTTTGAAGCTTTAATCACATTGATAGTGATCTAGTGACGGAAAGCTCAGTATTGTTGATGATGTCATAATTATATACTGGGCGACATTTCTTGTATGCTAATAACAGTATACAATCAATGTGTACATCATAAAATATTCCTCTACCAAATGAATGATATGTGGATTACTCAAGACTAGTCAGACGAATTTCGAAAAGTAACAGATAAGTGTTACTTGACACATCACCAATTCACTTCAGACATAACCGGTTCCCACAAGTTATCTCAGAACAACTAACTACACAACACAAACATACATTCTGCATATGTTTGATCACATGCTTCGTACTTTCAGTTTGTCTAGAGAATATTTGAATGGTATTAACGAAACTACAACGTGTTCCGTGACAAATCGTAGCCTACCAATAACACATACATTATTCATGTCTATACACGTAAACATTACACTGGTCCTTATTAGGTCTCACTCCATATGATTTTCTCCTGATACCACAAGTTGGTTTACATGTTCGATCTCACCGATAAAACTGAGAGTAAATCACCGTGCGTCAAGTTCGCATTCCATTTCCATAGTAGGATAATTCAACGTTCACAAATTAAATGGGTGTTAATCGTTTGACTTGAAAATGTTGAAGTTTGAAGTCAGTGTTGAGTTGAATATTATTGCTTCGCACATTTGCGTATTCAAAACTGACTAATTACGTAATGACAATATCGCGGACTTAGAAAATGTCATACATGTGATCGGTCTACACATCATTTCTTACAGACTAAATATTATTCACGTCACATGTTCTATTTTATAATGGCTTACGCAATGCGACTACTCAAACTACTGTGATGTGGATTATATAAACTCATTTCTGCTTCCATGATTAAACAGACGAATAATGTTAGTCACTTTGTTCCTACTCATCACATTAATTTCTTATCCAACTGTGTATGCACTTGCGAGCAACCATAGAACAACTGTGGCCAATAACAATGCCAGTGAATTGAGGTCATCATCAAATCTCCTGAACTGGAGAAACACAATATCACAATGTGTTCGATTGTATACGGGACCAAATCAACTTGGTGATTGGTTCGATATATGTGATAGTAATGAGCTACTCTCATCCATATTTGTTTGGAGGGCACAATCGATGTGTACATCTGTAAATACGAATCCAATCAGAAAGATATATTGGCTGATATATGAGTAAGTTTGTCCAATTTTATATGAACCATTGTGAGGTTCAAGTTGTGAATGTGTATCTGGCGAGATTTATCTAATTATCCATTAATTCTACTCTCATGATAATAATATGGGCATCCATATGTCTTATATTGTTTGACAATTTTGTCAATCACTGAGAACCTTCAATAAACACATCACACATTTCATGAAGTAACGGCACCGAGTTCATTGAAAAACATTGAAATTTAATAATTATGCCTATAGTTTGCAATTCATGATACAATCTCAATTCACTGTTGTGGTGAATTCCTATACTCTATGTGGAAAATCTTATATTTGTACACAGACAACACACTGTCTGGTGAATTTCACGATACATTTCGTTGTATAGAATTAAGAGAGATTATTTGTCTGGAGACACAAAAATAATTTTATGCAGTGACGATGATTGATTCGACCGACTGATTCGCCTTAGATATTCCTACAACATGAAGAGTGGAAAGAGTGGTAACTCTGTTTCGAATATTTACGGATTATAGGTGGAAATTTGGCTAATTTTGTGATGCTTGCATTATCTTTTACCAAACAAAATGAAAAGAGAATGCGATAATAATCGTTTAAATATTAGTTAATTTTTAATTTAAGCGAGGGTACTGGGTTCGAGTCCCAGAGTGAACATCAACTCTGAGATGCAGGTACATCCAGCTGACGAGTCCCAAATAGGACGAAACGCGCGTCCTGGATTCCACTGCTAGCCACTATCCATCTTTGCTTATCATGCTTGTGAATCAAGGCTATATCGAGGCAATACGCACAGTATGCACATATGCCAATTAGAGACTGACCAGTTGCAGTCCTAACACATCGATGGGAAGATTCAAACAAACAATACTAAGTGAATTAGTTAATTTTGTTCACGTTCGCTGACTTCGTTGGTAACGTGAACACATATGGTTTTCAGAAGAACACGTTATGTGCTTATTCGTGATCAAATGACGATTTGAAAGTGGTGGTTTATTTGATCTACACATAGGTGGCATTTGTTGAATGAATAAGATCTATAATAGATTGAGAGCAATTACATTGCACAGAACTATGATGTCTTCGGGTCTATAAAGATACTAAAGTAATTATCATCATCACTAATTTGTGATGTTCATGTATACTTATGCACGATTTTATCTCTCTTCATCCAGACGATCCCATTTTACAGGACCTTACATACTACTCGGTCCCAGTAGATGCATTGACGATATACGTCAGTATAAATTTTTGGCGACTACGTCAATTCTCATCTGTGTAGAAATTGTACGAGCGAAACTGGATGTTCTCGTTTCATGTCAATATCCAAAACGACCGTGGAGGGAATTTTTCCAAGTAAACTGGCATTCTGACAATAAAGTAACATCTAAGCAATCTGTTACAGTTGGAATGAAATCAGCTGATGAAGTGAAGGCTTCCTCTATGGAAAATATTAATAGTTTGGTAGATCTACAGAAAAACAGTGTCAACAATAAATGACTTCAAATACAACCACTCTTTTTCATTGTTTTCGTCAAATATTCGGGTGCACGTGAACATCAGTCTACCATGAGGGATCTTCAAATGATGTTTGAAGTTGTTTTAAATCAATCGAGGCAAGTAGTTTGACCAGAATCCTTAACATGACGATGGATATTCATTGATGTTTATAACGGATAACAGTTCAATATCCGTTGTTAGTGACATATATTATTGTAGAAAATGAATGGTAAACACCGTATTTCAAGAATACGTGAATGATGGTGTTCTAAACACTTTGACACAGAATTCAAACACTTTACTTCTACCCGAAGTTTGTGTTGATGATGTCGTTCAGAAGGACGATGAAAGCTCCACGACCAAACCATCCAGCTCAGAGAACAAACCAACATAAAAAAACTTTGACACTAGTTTGCCAAACATTTTATAAGCCGATTTGTAATCATCAAGTTTTGAAAATGTAACTCATTAGTCTCAGTCGTGACGATCAGTAAAATTTGTATCCAGTGTTGCCCAATGTTCCAGTAGACAGTTGACTGAGGAGGTAGAATGGGTCGTTTTGTAAGAACGTAGTATTTATCCATTCTGTGTTGTAAGTGAACATCCTGTTCTCCAGACGTGTATCACTTGACTTACTATTCGAAATATTATTGTAAATAACGTGCAGTTTTTATATAAATAATGAATGTGTATAGGTTTTCAATGGATCTACAAAATAGCTGTTGTGCATATTTGCTTGATGATCAAACACGAATCTCTAAACATACTTTTTGGAAATTGTTCTGTCCAACGTACCTATTACGACTTTTGAGCACGTACACATAGTTTCGATTCGTTCGAATAGCTGTGACTATGGCGTTATCAATACGTTCCTTCAAACCAGTTTGTATTACTCAGTCGATTACTGAAAGTACCAGCTATCCAAGTTCCATTTTCAAACGAGTGAAAACAAGTGGGACTTGATAGACTTCTTATGTTCACACAGTCTTCAGCTGAATAAGGCATTTCGAAGTTTATCTTTGAATTACATTACATTACTAAGTAACCAGTCTCACATCTTTAATTGTATGTGCCCTCTGAAAACATTTTGAAAACTTTCATAATGTGGAAAACGGTAGTTAATCTATTTATTTGGACTATGAATTGTGACGATGAAATAGTACTATAAACTATGGTTTCTGACTCCTATTCAGCCTCCGTGTTTACCTTTTTTATGTAGTATTTGTAGCCAGTGAAGTGCCTTGAAGCGGAACAAAATTACTTATGCTACATATTCTATTGTTCTTTATGGAAAAACAGATTTCATCCACATTTAAAATCAAATGACTAGCAACTGATTGATACTGATTTCTAACAAGTAGTTAACTCTAAAAATATTGAAAAATTATGCGACCGATTTATGTGGGACATCTTGATCAATGTAAGCTTATTAACTGGTTTTCACCATATCAACAGAATTTATTTTAATCATTCAGGACAACACTGTAAATTCTAGATGATAATGACAAATGCTTACTTTCATCGAAGTGAAACTCTAATGTGAGATTTAGGTGAGACTGTTGCTTTGTTAATTAGAAATTCAATGTCGATTATTTATGAAGGCAGTACATTCATTCTGCCTACGACTCGCAACCTAAATGATTTGAATGCAAGTATTTCATTGATTATTCACTGCCTCTATGCTACGGTCTGGCGTCAATCGTTTCTTTAACTATGCACATATTATGGAATATATTGACGACCCTCTATGCATTCTATGTACTGAGGAAACATATACTTGGATCTGTGTGCATCATTACATATATTGTAGTGAACAGAAAAATGGTTGGGGACAATCGAATGTATTTAAGAAAAAATTACAGACTATCTCAGTAAATTCTGAAAACCATACAATGGACAGTCAATTTGCAAATTAACAACCAATAGTCTCAATCCTCACTGTTTCTTCTCTAATTCCATTGTTCGTGCATTTTCCTACCGATTGCGCTTCGTTTCAGTTCTTTCCTCTTCGGTCTTCTGCCAAAATACATTCTATGTCTGACCAACACCATATACTACTTATATGGATATAAGTAGACCACACCACAATATGAGTACTATGGAATGTGGCCGTTTGCTTCTTACTGTGTAAAGTTGAATCGAAGTCCCTACTTTCACAAAACTTATATCGAAGTGAACCGCTTACGTGTCCGTTTGCATTGGTTTCTCCAATGCTTAAGTCTTACAAGTCCTTACAATAGCTCCTTTCTGTTCCCGAAGGTTGATCAGCATTTCTACTTGTTCGGGTGTGTAATAAGTATGGAAATCGAAATCCATAATATCCGGAACGGTTACAATAACCAACTACATTTCGTCTAGTAGACAACTTTGTAGTTATGTATTCCTCCACTTCAGTAACTTTCATGTTGCCCTCCATTGATTTGTATTAATGTCAGTTTTCGTTGTGTCAAATGTTTCTTTCCAGGGACCATATATATGTAGTAAATTGATGCGTGATAGCAAACAAAAAAATATTCCACTCAAGTTCAAAATCATTTAACAAGATTGACCTCTAGTAATCTCGACCAGAATGGGTCAGGTCGTGATATCAGTGATCGATTACTAAGTAGTTGAAATTGTGAAATGATATTAGTGATTGAGTGTTTCATGTGACAGACAATGATCAACAATGATCAATTTGTCATGTGTATCTGGTGGAAATCATTGCATTCTGTTTTGAAGAAGACGTGATAATTAGCAACTTATTTATATTCAACATTGGCATTTCGTTGCAAAACTATAACCAACTTCAAACTATTCCAAGGAGTCAAATTACAGATCAGAAGGGATTTTGTGGAGAATTTAGTATTTTCACAGTTGAAATCATCAGTCAAATAAAGCTAGACCACCATGGAAAACCTGGAAGCACTGAACGGCCGTTTCGTCCTATTATGGGCTCCTTAGCAGTGCACATCCACGATCCCGCACTCGCGAGATCCGAACCCAGGACCCAACAGTCTCGAGCCAGAGCTCTTAACGGACAGACCACTGAGCCGGCATCCTACCGTGTTAATGTCTAACTTCAACTAATCCACTATTTTGAGCGACCGTTCACCAATTGTCTTCAGTGAGTCTATCGGTTGTGGTCTCTGGCTTGAGACTGGTAGGTCCTGGGTTCGAATCTCGCGAATCAAATTACACAAACAGTATGATAATATTTCTTGTTGAAGCCTAATATGTCGAAAATGTATACTTCTGACGTCTCGTAACAGTATAATTCACTTATTCACCGTATATAAATAACCGAATTAAACAAACACAATTTTAATTAGTGTAAACGAAACAATGTATCGTCTTTTTGGTGCAACCAAAATCGTAAAAGTTCTGAATATTTCAATGTCAAGTTAATCTTGATCAAATTGAAGTTGAATGACTTCTTACTCTATTGATTTGTGTGTCGGGAATTGGGTATGAGAAATTTATGTATTAGTACAATCCAGTAGTGAAGTTGAAACTAGGTGTGTGTGTGTAGACTGTGTGGAAGATAAATAAGGCCAGATATGGTTGTTTGGACAAATAGTCCGGGTTAGATGAATATTCTGGCTTTCTTTTCAATTGACGGGAGAATAATTTAAAATTATGTGGAACACTTCAGCTACTCGCCTCACGTTGTATTTGGAAAAGACCTTCTGAAATATTTCAATTATCATCAATTTCGGGATCTTTGAAAACAGCATGTACTGTTATTGTTGATTTAACTTTTAGCCTTTTCAACAATCTTTCACCTCATTTGAATGTAAAAAAGAATATATTTTCCGCATAACGGAACCCGATGATCTAAGATGTTATTAATAACCCTCTACCCATTGTTCAATTTATTTGAAACTATCAAGTCCAACCTTGGGACTAGTATTTTTAACTCTATGTTGATTTGAAGGGGTTTTTGTGGATATTTCACTATTTTCATAATTGAAGGTAGACCGCCATGGAAAACCTGGGAGCACTGGACTGCCGTGCTATTATGGGATCCAACACCTACCAGCTTCTCGCCGGAGCACTTCGAATCTGGCGGGTGTGGGATCGTGGATGGGCACTGCTGAGGAGTCCCATAATAGGACGAAACGGCCGTCCGGTGTTTCCAGGTTTTCCATGGTGATCTAGCTTCAATTGACTAATTATTTCTATGTTGATTTGTCTAGTAAGTGCATAATGAATGATTTTACATAGATGCATGATCTCCATCAACTGGTTAATCAAAGTGATTCCACAAATAATTGATGTTGATCATGAGAACTCATAGAAGTTCAGAATATCAATCAACTAGTGTTTTCAGGAAACATATGTTCTAAAGTGAAATGCGTATTAAAAAGAAATGAATACACTATTTTATTGGTTACCATTTTTTCTTTTCATACCATACTACTTGTTATTCTTTAGTAGATCAAGTTATCATCAATTAATTTGAAGTCTTTTCCTCTGATTTCTCTGTTAAAATGAACTGCTTATCCTAAACATTGTCGATTTTTCAAAAGTTTTGAACCAATTTATTGTTTGTAGTTGTATTGCTTCCCTCTTTTAATTGTCTACTCCTTTTGAATTATTTTACTAATCAGAAATTTGTTCTAAACAGCTTGTCTATTTCAAATTGATTCACTCCATTGACCACTAATACGTTTCTTACTCCCTTGAGACAATGAGACAGAAGACCGAACAACTGGGATTTTAAGACACTTGAATCTTCATTAGTGAATTGAGAGAGTTTTCATGGTCGATTCATCTATTGCAATCTTTTCATTTAGCCACATTATCCCATATAAAACATAGTCATGTCATCACTGTTATCTTATCCTTTACTTGACTCTTTTACAAGTAGGATGAATTGGGTAGGCAGTTTACGTGGTGGACTAAACTGTTTTCACCCTGTATTATTAAGCATTCACTGATCAACTTGGAAGTGGGACTTGTGGATTTTGAGTATCGTCATGAGAGGCTGATTGTAGCCAAAAAGTAATTTAGGAAAACGTTTATCGTTTATATTACACACAGGTAGTGGACCAACTTTGATGGATTTTATTCAAGATAACAGATGAAAGTGATTAGCCTTATGAGTATTATCCTAATTGAGTTCAAGATCCTGAATTACGTCTGAGTTTGAACAACACTCCGTTATAGATTGACTTGACGAATGGCTCAGTGACTGATCGTGGATACGCAACAGTTGTAAGTCACGAAACATTGGATAGATGTTTGTCTTGGTAAATTTTATATAGGACCATGTGCAGTGAAGTCCCTTAAAGTCTTGGGTTTTTCTGTGAAGAACACTGTACCTGCATTTCACTTTAATTAACGTCAACCTTGATTTATAATTATCTGTCACTGTCCATAAGTATGACTGCAATAAGTGAATGTGAACAGAACAGTGATTTTGATATTTGAATGTTTGGAGTTAGCGTAGGATAACATTCTCCCTTCTAAAATGGTAACCAGATATTTGGAGTTAAAGCGAGTTGGTGACATTGAGTAAAAGTGACCCATATCAGTCGACGCTGTGACGATAACAGGTTATCTGTGGTCGTGGTTTCAATGATGGAAGTCTTGCAACACCCATATTCATGCCTAATTACCACCAACCATTTCGTTATGATAGACCAAAATGTGTTTGTCTACATTATGATGTCAGTTATGTGGATGTGAAATATTGGACTGTGTATGAGTGATTTTCTATTATTCACTCAGTTTCATAATACGTTGCACAGTGTGTCTCTCATGAATAACCTGTTTTGTTACCGGCAAGCAATATTAGGCAAATTTGATTGTAATGCAATACCGATGGGAATCAAGAAACAACTTTAGAGTTGGGGTGTAAATACAGATCTGGTTACATCATTTTCCCCCTCATCACTACTTATTTCAATAAAGAAAACGCATTGCAATTGTTGAGAAACGTTAGACTAGTGATCAATTCACTCATGTCCCGTTGTGGATGCTAAACGTCTGTAAGAGTACTCAAAGAATTGGTGGTTCGAGTATTGCTTAACTGTAATGTGCATTAACGAAACAAGTCAATTTCAAGAGAGTATTTTCACACATCTGTGAGAGGATTTGTAATCTCTAGAACAAATATTTGAGTACTGATGATTAGTTTCCATTCAGCTTCATGGTGGTCATCAAAAGAGTACAGATCAAAGAGGTGGGAGGCATTTTCCTCATACATGTTTTTTTGAACAGGGCAAACGAAAGATATAAATCAAAGTGAAATGAAGTCATACGGATAAGTTTAACTATTATGTACAAGATAAAATAAAGGACGCGAAACTAGTGCAAGCTTTAATACCTTGTGGTTCACTGTATTTTAAAATCATTTATCTTTGACATTTTCTGGTTGACTGGAAGGAGACAAAAGTCTCTCAGTCTCGCTAAAGTTCAATATTTCCATCGTGACCACAACATGGCTTTCTTAATCCTGAATCACTCACCACTAAAACTAAACATGAATGTATTTTTAGAAGGATAGGAATAAGTAATAGAGACGATCTGATTAAGTTTATAGTACTATTTCACTGTCACAGTTCCTAGTTCAAATAAACAAATTAACTACAGTTTTCCACATTATGAAAGTTTCCAAAATGTTTTCAGAGTTTACATACAAATAAAGATGTGAGACTGGTTAGTTAGTAATGTAATGTAATTTAAAGACAAACTTCGAAATGCCTTATTCAGCTTAGAACTGTGTGAACATAGGAAGTCTATCAAATTCCACTTCTTTTTACTCATTTGAAACTGGAACTTAGATAGCTGGTACTGTCAGTAATGAAATGAGTCATATGAACTGGTGTAAAGGACCTTATTGATACAGCCAAAGTCACAGCTATTCAAGCGAATCAAAACTATGTGTACGTGCTCAAAAGTCGTAATAGGTACGTTGGACAGAACAAGTTCCAATAAGTATGTTTGGAGATTCGGGTTTGATCACGAAGGAATTATGCTATTTTGTAGATCCATTGAAAACTTATATAAATTCGCTTTCTCCAATAATATATCTCACTAGCAATGGATATTGAATTGTTATCCGTTATAGATATCAATGGATATCCATCGTCATGTTAAGGATTATGGTCAAACTACTTGCCTGCGTCGATTTAAAACAACTTCAAACATCAAATTCACTTAGTATTTTTTGTTTGAATCTTCCTATTTATGTTTTAGGACTGCAACTGGTCAGTCTCTAATTGGCATATGTGCACACTGAGCGTATTGTCTCGATATGGCCTTAATTCACACGCAAGTGGCCGAGTGTGTAACGCGATGGCGTTTGAAGCGAGGGTCCTGGGTTCGATTCCCAGAGTGAACATCAAATGTGAGATGCAGGTACATCCGACTGACGAGTCCCAAATGGGACGAAACGCGCTTCAAGCTGGATTCCACTGATAGCGACTATCCATCTCTGTTTAATTTCAAACATCATTTGAAGATCCCTCATGGTAGACTGATGTTCACGTGCACCCGAATATTTGACGAAAACAATGAAAAAGAGTGGTTGTATTTGAAGTCATTTATTGTTGACACTGTTTTTCTGTAGATCTACCAAACTATTAATATTTTCCATAGAGGAAGCCTTCACTTCATCAGCTGATTTCATTCCAACTGTAACAGATTGCTTAGATGTTACTTTATTGTCAGAATGCCAGTTTACTTGGAAAAATTCCCTCCACGGTCGTTTTGGATATTGACATGAAACGAGAACATCCAGTTTCGCTCGTACAATTTCTACACAGATGAGAATTGACGTAGTCGCCAAAAATTTATACTGACGTATATCGTCAATGCATCTACTGGGACCGAGTAGTATGTAAGGTCCTGTAAAATGGGATCGTCTGGATGAAGAGAGATAAAATCGTGCATAAGTATACATGAACATCACAAATTAGTGATGATGATAATTACTTTAGTATCTTTATAGACCCGAAGACATCATAGTTCTGTGCAATGTAATTGCTCTCAATCTATTATAGATCTTATTCATTCAACAAATGCCACCTATGTGTAGATCAAATAAACCACCACTTTCAAATCGTCATTTGATCACGAATAAGCACATAACGTGTTCTTCTGAAAACCATATGTGTTCACGTTACCAACGAAGTCAGCGAACGTGAACAAAATTAACTAATTCACTTAGTATTGTTTGTTTGAATCTTCCCATCGATGTGTTAGGACTGCAACTGGTCAGTCTCTAATTGGCATATGTGCATACTGTGCGTATTGCCTCGATATAGCCTTGATTCACAAGCATGATAAGCAAAGATGGATAGTGGCTAGCAGTGGAATCCAGGACGCGCGTTTCGTCCTATTTGGGACTCGTCAGCTGGATGTACCTGCATCTCAGAGTTGATGTTCACTCTGGGACTCGAACCCAGTACCCTCGCTTAAATTAAAAATTAACTAATATTTAAACGATTATTATCGCATTCTCTTTTCATTTTGTTTGGTAAAAGATAATGCAAGCATCACAAAATTAGCCAAATTTCCACCTATAATCCGTAAATATTCGAAACAGAGTTACCACTCTTTCCACTCTTCATGTTGTAGGAATATCTAAGGCGAATCAGTCGGTCGAATCAATCATCGTCACTGCATAAAATTATTTTTGTGTCTCTAGACAAATAATCTCTCTTAATTCTATACAACGAAATGTATCGTGAAATTCACCAGACAGTGTGTTGTCTGTGTACAAATATAAGATTTTCCACATAGAGTATAGGAATTCACCACAACAGTGAATTGAGATTGTATCATGAATTGCAAACTATAGGCATAATTATTAAATTTCAATGTTTTTCAATGAACTCGGTGCCGTTACTTCATGAAATGTGTGATGTGTTTATTGAAGGTTCTCAGTGATTGACAAAATTGTCAAACAATATAAGACATATGGATGCCCATATTATTATCATGAGAGTAGAATTAATGGATAATTAGATAAATCTCGCCAGATACACATTCACAACTTGAACCTCACAATGGTTCATATAAAATTGGACAAACTTACTCATATATCAGCCAATATATCTTTCTGATTGGATTCGTATTTACAGATGTACACATCGATTGTGCCCTCCAAACAAATATGGATGAGAGTAGCTCATTACTATCACATATATCGAACCAATCACCAAGTTGATTTGGTCCCGTATACAATCGAACACATTGTGATATTGTGTTTCTCCAGTTCAGGAGATTTGATGATGACCTCAATTCACTGGCATTGTTATTGGCCACAGTTGTTCTATGGTTGCTCGCAAGTGCATACACAGTTGGATAAGAAATTAATGTGATGAGTAGGAACAAAGTGACTAACATTATTCGTCTGTTTAATCATGGAAGCAGAAATGAGTTTATATAATCCACATCACAGTAGTTTGAGTAGTCGCATTGCGTAAGCCATTATAAAATAGAACATGTGACGTGAATAATATTTAGTCTGTAAGAAATGATGTGTAGACCGATCACATGTATGACATTTTCTAAGTCCGCGATATTGTCATTACGTAATTAGTCAGTTTTGAATACGCAAATGTGCGAAGCAATAATATTCAACTCAACACTGACTTCAAACTTCAACATTTTCAAGTCAAACGATTAACACCCATTTAATTTGTGAACGTTGAATTATCCTACTATGGAAATGGAATGCGAACTTGACGCACGGTGATTTACTCTCAGTTTTATCGGTGAGATCGAACATGTAAACCAACTTGTGGTATCAGGAGAAAATCATATGGAGTGAGACCTAATAAGGACCAGTGTAATGTTTACGTGTATAGACATGAATAATGTATGTGTTATTGGTAGGCTACGATTTGTCACGGAACACGTTGTAGTTTCGTTAATACCATTCAAATATTCTCTAGACAAACTGAAAGTACGAAGCATGTGATCAAACATATGCAGAATGTATGTTTGTGTTGTGTAGTTAGTTGTTCTGAGATAACTTGTGGGAACCGGTTATGTCTGAAGTGAATTGGTGATGTGTCAAGTAACACTTATCTGTTACTTTTCGAAATTCGTCTGACTAGTCTTGAGTAATCCACATATCATTCATTTGGTAGAGGAATATTTTATGATGTACACATTGATTGTATACTGTTATTAGCATACAAGAAATGTCGCCCAGTATATAATTATGACATCATCAACAATACTGAGCTTTCCGTCACTAGATCACTATCAATGTGATTAAAGCTTCAAAATCAGTCCAATAATGTAATTTAATTCTGAATGACTTTAGATTCCGATGGTTCATCGGTTGAATTGATGAACAACTTGGTTGATCAGTCATTCATTGTCTACCGATTTTTTGAAAAATCTTTGTGCTTTTCGAATCCTCTCAACTGATTTTGTTTCTCTTCTGTTGTTCATTTTACTACGATCAATATTACTATACGTTTATGAGCGTACAAACTGTGTAGCCATATGGCGTACTTACTGATTGCGTTGGTAAAACAAATATGGCAGTTCTACCGATAAGGTTTCTCTGTTCAATCCTAAGTAAAGAACTCATTCTTGCCTTAAAAGATAATAATAATAATAATAATAATAATAATAATAATAATAATAATAATAATAATAATAATGAAAATGGAGTGTTTCGAGCACTCGCATAATCTAACCCTCGTCAAAACTGTCACGCATTTTGTGCACGTAAATCCAGAACATTTCATTCCGTTTAATTTATTTCAACTAGAAAATACTGTACTAAAATAACGGAACAAATCATACCATTGAAATCATGTGACTTTTATTGACAAACTTTAATACATTAATCTACGGAATAGTTAAAAGTCTTGATAGTGTTAATTAAAATCTGATTGATAACTTGTGATTGCATGATAGCAAAAGTAGTTGGAAGTAATGGATTTATGGGATAATAACATTGTTATTTGCACTGTCATTCTGTTGAGTACTTAGATCGAATTGATTGGATGTGTCGATTCCCGGATTCAACTCCTGATTCACTTCAACAATATTTTCCGGAATTTCATCAGTTATCAACGATGACTGTCGTGGTACATTACAATGTGAGTTAATATTGTATTGAGACCATCTTAAACACTTCATTATGGATCCAACAGATCGTATTCCATTTCGGTGCATATCCGTAATACATGTATCTGGTCGAACGAATATATGCCGACCACGAAAACCCTCCCGTCTGTAAACAAATACACAGTAATAAGAATACAAATGCGATCAAGCACTAGTTTCAATTTTGTTAAAAACGGTTTGAAAACAAAACAGTTAGAATTATTTACCTTACATTGAACATCTGTAATAACTTAACTAAACTGAAGCATGCACAAACTAACCATGTTGAATAAAATATCCAATGAAATGAATCATACCGACGATAGTCGTAACTTCTTTCTCTGCGTCCCACCTTAGAATCCGATATTTTTTTTTAAAACAAGTTACCAGTTTAGTCGATTTCTAATCACAACATATCATACTAATGCTTGAAAAAAATATAACATTACATGTCTTAGATCTTCAGTCTCCTAGTGTTGATGTTCACGACAACACTGGATTACACATGTTAGGTATACGTGCGTGCTGAATGGATAACCTCAATATCGTCTTCAGTTAAAAGTATCATATTGAACATCATGTACTTCCAGGGTTCATCTACTTCTCTCAATCTAATGTTATTAGGAACACATAAACTATTTTGATACGTGTAATTTAATACATGTGAACATTCGTACAGTTTTCCACATGATTTTGCTGAAAGAAATCCTTTCATGGAGTAATTTTCTGTGTGAATTCATTTATGTACTCGATTTGAAATATACCTTCCGTTTCACACATACAGTTCTGTGCTCGAATTTAATAGACCAATGAACATTATTTAGTCTGGGATACCGTAAATGCTAAACACAATGCATTGAGTGCATCAAATGACTGAAATTTCATTGACCACATAATGTTCAATGTTGTACATAGGGACTTCGCTGTTTTGTTTCCATTCAGCTCTCTTAATCGTCAGTGAAATTTTGAGTAGATAATCGAATCGATAATATACAATATGAGCATCGTGAAGTGACAATATGATTAAGCCTTCGATAATAATCTCAGTAGATTATGAGACTTGGTGTAGAAAATCAAGCCAATCTTGAGACGTTCTTCCTACTGTAGTTCATCAAATCAGGATAACTAATGATTCAATTTACATTGCTGTTGGATACCATCAACTTCAGCTGAAATCAAGATTTCCATAGGTTTTTATCGGGATTGGGTAATTTCATCCTCAACATGAATGAATGAATTTCATTACACAACCACTGGAATCTGGAGGCACTGAACAGTTGTTTTCTCCTAGTATGCGACTACTCACAATTGCATATCAATGGTCCTGACACAAGAGACTAGACCTAGACTCTTCTCTCACACACAGAAATGATAATCTTAAGATCACCCACTCAATTTGTAATGGTGTACATGCTGAAATTCAATCTATTCGTATTATTGCTCTGTCATATTCCAAAGTGTTTAGAAATGAGTAATGGTTATTCCATTTACTCACAACCTTGATTTGTTGAACGACTATTATCGAAATATTACATTTCAGCTTAATTTGGTGTCCAATTTATCTTGCCAATAATGTTCAGACAACACTTGTCATCACCTATGAGACTCACAAGAAACTTTCAGTATACAAATTTCGTAAAAAGAATAGTTATGTTATTTGTAGAAACTTACGAATATAATATTTAGTATTTAACATTGGAGCGTCTGGTGGAGGGTGGTGAACAAACTGCTCTTGTATACCTCTTTAGAAAGGGAGAAAGTAATGCATTACTGTCACACAAATCAATCCAATAATTCCTGTTATTGTAGAAGCTGAATAATCTCATGCATTCCACTGACGGTACCCGACTATATAAAAGTCTTGTTTGTGTTTGTGAGCCATTTGAATTTGTGTGATTAACGGTTGTATTTACCAGTGTTTCAATTGACCACAATGTTGAGCAAGATATTACAGTAAAGAGGAACACTAAACTAATTGGCATTGTTCTTCATCAAATTGTGAAACCGACCTTCGTAGGTCTATTTATATCACTCACGTTAAAACGCTGTGTTAATATTCAGGATTTAAATGTGATAAGTTCGTGACGACTACAGGTTTCGTTTAATAAGATTTAAGGTTTATTGATGAAGCGGGTTGATTCTATTCGTTTATGCTACTATTTCTGACTAGATATCACGTATTCATTTATAAGATATCACGACAAGTAATTGAGATTATCAAACAACACTTGTTCTGATTCGTCGGATTATGTATTTATCAGTTTAGCATGTGATTATTTTGTCAATTTAATGTATACGTGTATGGTAATCACAAATTCAGCAGTCACATGAGAATCGATTAATATTTGACATTAGAAATTCTCTTCTCAGTATAGAAATATATCTGCTCTTAGATTGTGTGAACATCGTTGTCAAAGCTGTTAAAATATGCGAAAACAAACCTAACAACTAGGTCTCACAATTCAGTAACCACTGGCACTCATGAATGTAGAGAGAATCAAGTATAAATTGTGAATCAACGGAAACCTCTTCGATAATAATACCCTCCATTGAACACTATCATTATCAGTGAGAATGGAAATCAAGCATGGTTTTCAAGTAATGTTATACGATGTCAAATAATTTCAACTGGTAAACAAGTTGGAGAAAACGTGTTGAATTAGGTTTCAGTTTCGAGCTAATAAACCTCAACAGGCTCAACAAAATTGGTAATAGCATAATGAACCACTACCCCGCTCGTGTTGGTGAACCATATGGCTAACAGAAGACACAAGGCATCATCATTTATTCAGAAACTGTCAACAGATATTCCTAGACAGTACTAACAACACGAATTAGCACGAAACGATGAGATTCGTCTCCATTTCTATTGGACTTAATCACAAGTATCTTTTTCTGCACATTCTCCACAAAAACGAACAAAACTAAAACAACACTTGTCCGTTGATATTCAGTGAAATAACAAAACTCTCTGTACACGTTTCACCCATCTCCACCTGAAGGCTCTACTTACTACTTGATTTACGTATTCACTTCACTTATATGCTTGTTGATGTTATTCTAAATTCGAATAGATCTAATGATACTCTGTTTAGTGTGAACTGATTGTCGTCACTTTTCTTGATATAAACTAAGGCTGAAACATCAAGAAACAATGTGACTAATTATCTGCTGGACGGACCTGAGGGTGTATAAGCAGGTTTTCATACCACTTATGAGGATTTGGAAATACTAATAGGGTTTTAAGTACACAGTTAACATTATAGGGCAACACGTAAGAAATCCGGGTTTGACATGGTTAATTCAGCAAACACACAATTCCATCTAGTGGTTTGGGTGATCCTTCTTGAGATTTGCAATTTAACGTTGATGACTATTGGTTTAAAATATGATTTGCCATATATTTTGTTGGATTTACATGTGATTATGATGACAAACTGTCGGTAGCTTGTAAACTCATAGTTTTTGTTTAGGTGTGGTTAGATCGAATGAGCTTGGGAGGTTGATCGAATTCAATGAACGAACCATTTCATCACTATTTCACAAGTGATATTTTACAAGTGATAATCTGCAAGTTCCATACAGTTCACAACTAGTTATTTAACTCCTTTCTTTATTTAGACCCACCAACTTGGAAATCAATGTGATGTAGACTCGTATATGTGTACACTAAATGAAGGCAAAACATTCTCATTCAACACAGAATCATTCGACTGATGTACATCATGACAATAAAGATTCCCTATCAGCAAGAGTGATTAATTCAATGAATTTTGATTGGACAAGAGTATGATGTAGCCTCAAAGACAGTGCGAACATCATATTGCCTTTAGATTTTAATTCAATAACATTCCACATTTTGCTAGCCATGCTATTCGCGATCAGTGAGTTATATAAGTATCGCAAAACAGTTGACAGTTTATCTAGATTGTTATATACATTAATTTAGGATTAATCATGTGTACTCTAAAACTCAACTTGTCGTCCTAACGAAGAAAGCAAAAATGTGATCTCTACAGCATCCTATGAAGCCTGCATGCGTTTTTTTCGAGTATGCTGAGTTGATTGATTGTGATTTTTGTGTCTCTGTTCTACAAACAAACACACATTCACATACACACACTTGATTGTTTTCCACAGAAAACAAACTATTTCTTTCTCTAAGAAATGTTGCCAAATGAAACTTAAGCAACATGAAATATATCGGTGTATAAACACCTGCTGTGAAACTTTCCCATAAAGCACTCTTTTTTGATGGAGATGAAAGAAACTCTATAATCCATTTTAACACCGTACTTCAACTTTCAAGATGGAAATTAAACAAGTTGTGGGTGAACTGTTCGTTGAACAAGTTAGGCATGCCACTAATCCGTTGTGGTAGAAAAGCTATCAATTGATTATTTGATCAGTTTTCAAGTGAAACATTGATCGGTCCATAATAATTCTGAATAACATCTCATTGGACTTTAGGAGTTGTTCAGTCTACAGTATCTACAACTCTGCTAAGAAGATCAGTCTTCATCACCAGATTGATATGCTCATAAAACACGATATCATATAAATCATTTAGTATATTGATCTGTATTCACAACTTTATAACAATTTCTCTAACTACTAATAGAGCTCGAAAGTAGTATGCCACATTGGGAGTTAGTTTACACTCTAACAATAATCGACCTCTTTTAACATTTCTGTTGAATGCTTTCATGTCTCACATAGATTGGGCAAAATTTGGCTAACAATTTGTTGTAAACCGTTGTCGAATATATTAGGTGAAGTCAGTTTACTATATTGTGAATTATTTACTGGTGCAAATATTATCCATCTGGTTCTTCTTGGTGTGATTCGGTGAGATGCATGTAGCTGTGTGTATGCGTTTTTATGGGAATATTGTGACCCTCACAATCGATTTGTTGAATGTACGTATATTTTCAGATCACTCCTCATTTTCCTTTCTCTCTCTCAGTAAATGTTGTCTAATGATATCTTCATATTATGTGTTATCTATTCCAATTTTGAAGCCTAAGTCTCCTATAAGGTTGGTGAGATCCTTTTCTTTATTTAAAACACATTTAGCATTTTGAAATATTTGAAAATTTATGCTAATAATTATTTCCTTTAATGAAATTTATGTTAGCGATCATAGCTACTATAATAGAATAGATGGATTGTGGATAGCGGAGGATATCAGAACACGCGTTTCGCCCCGTTTAGGACTGGTCAGCTGGATGCAACTTCATCTGAGTTTTGATTTTCACTCTACGACTCATTCCCATTACGGTTTGCTTCAAACGTCATCACGTTAATCATTTTACTACTGATGCAAGACATTCCTTCATTTGTGCAACGGGTATGAGATTTA